CTAAAAACAATGGAATAATACAAAATGTATCTAATGTATGCATGGAACCATCCGCCCTAGCTTGTAAACAATGGCACACTAGCTGAAGGCAGGGCAGCTGAGGCGCTCAGGCTGGACGGACAGGCAGACGCATTCGGGATGAATGTCCTTACCCGAATTTGTCATCGCTGGTCGAGCCAATATTTTTACGCAAAAACGCATCATTACCCAATTTTATCGCTAGTCGATGTCATCATTGGTTGAGGGTCCACTGTACACGTATATGTATTATATTTTAAGGCGCATTCCTGATTTGCACTTGAATATTTTTATTAGCATTTAAGTTGTATTTGTGGCTTTGCATTTGTATTTCATGTAGAAGTGAGAGTTTCTAAAAAAAACTACAGCCTCTCCTCACTTAGCGATGTACCCGTTTACCGACGACTCAGACTTACAATGGCCTCTCTGACTAGTATGCATACCTAAATAATGTACATTGGAGCTGATTTCTTCTGATTATTACAAAATACATACAGTGGACTCTCGGCTATCGGCTGTAATCCGTTCCACAAGGTCGGCCTAAATCCAAAATAATATTTCCCATAACAATTAATGTAAATCCAATTAATCCGTTTCAGACACCCAAAAATATTAACAAAAAATAAATTTTTTAACCCTTGACTGTCGCAAGCCCCTATCTGAAACTGTCATTCTATGTCGAAAAATTTTTGGAAAAAAAATATTTTTTTCTTATGAAATGATAGAGAATCTTTTCCTGATGGTAATGACACCAAAAGTATGAAATTTGGTTGAAAACTCACGGAATTATGCTCCCATGAAGTTAGTGGTCTCAGCGACATACACGCATCGGCAATTTCACCGACTTTGAGCCCTGTTTTTGGCCAATTCTGTTGTTCCAGTTGACCAAACTCAAAGCTATTTCTTTAGAACTCCATTTTGTCTATCAGTTGAGTACAAGAAACCGCCCATTTACCAATTTGAACTACCCAATAAAGCGGTCAGAAATCGGCAATTTGGCCAATTTCACACAAATTAAAAAATATGCCAATTTCAAAATAGGGTTCAGAATAAACAATGTACACATTCTTGGCACTAAAATAACATATCCTCTGTTCATTAGTCACGTCTCTGGGCCCCTCTTACATTACTATTGCTTTTTATTTTGATTTTTTATTCATACAAAAAATAGAAGATTTACTGTTATGCAGACTACTGCATTATTGTAAAAAATGGTTTAAATAATATCAGTGCACTAGTGAAAGAATATTAGACTCCCCAGTTGATGTGTTTTGGACATGTGGTGTGATTTGCTTACTCTTGAACATTGGTAAAAATCGAACATTTCTGCTACTTTGAGCTCAATTTCAAGGTCGTTTTCATTGTGAAACTAATCAAAATCATCCCTATTTCTGTAATATGTTTTCCATTTTATCACGTGAGACCATGAAAATGAAAATACAACGATAAATACTATACGAAAATACACGTCAAAGTCGGTGTTTTATTACAAAAAAACGGTCAGTTTTTTTTTCTCATTATGCACTGCATGCTGCAGGATTTTTTTTTTATATGGTGCACACTGACCACACAGACCCATTCTCTCACATGTGGGCCTACCAGCTTTCTCTTGCTTGATTTGAAGCCGCTAGAATTATTGGGTATATATACGTCTGAAACACTGGCTCATGAGATGCATATATACGACCAAAACAGTCAAAGGGTTAAAGATTAACTATAGTTTTACATACAGAAAAAAATGAGAAATAAACTCAAGTATAAGGCACAAATTTTAATGATAAATGAACATTACATACCTTTATCGAAGACTCTTGTTGGCGTACTGAAGAAGGTAGGAGGGGAGAGGGAGTTGGGAATCCCCAACTCCCTCTTCCCTCTGTGTAGTGTAGCCCCCCTGGGCTACACTACACAGCCATATTATTACCATGTTCATTGAGATTAATTATTTCTAACAACTACCTTTAGATGCCACCATAAACAAAGGGAGAAGTAATGAATAATTCATGCCGAGAATTGAAACAAACGCATATGAAAGGTGGTTACTGGGTGAGACGCCAGATTCACAGTTTTCACTAACGCTGAATCAGAGAAAATGTAATGTTTACTCTCCACTCGACTTTCCATTCGATAGCATGTTTATATGCTATATGCTATGTAATGTGTTTCTTATATAATTTTGAAGAAAATATCATATATGGATTAATGAAAATGTCTATATTAACCTAAAACAAACACATTTAATGTGCCCAAGAGTGATTATTATTAAACATACATTGCATATAAATAGTGATGTTACATTACTATGTAATGTAACATCATTATATAATTTTGAAGAAAATATCATAGATGGGTTAATGAAAATGTCTATACAGTGGACCCCCGCATAACGATGGCATCACATAGCGATTATTTCGCATACCGCTTACTTTAATTGCAAAAATTTTGCCTCACATACCGCTTAAAAACCCGCTTACCGATTTTCGTCCGAGACGCGTCCAATGTGCGGCCTGAGCCACGCTCACATGTTCCGCCGGTGGCATTGTTTACCAGCCAGCCTCCGCGGTAACATCCAAGCATACAATCGGAATATTTCGTATTATTACAGTGTTTTCGGTGCTTTTTCTGGAAAATAAGTGACCATGGGCCCCAAGAAAGCTTCTAGTGCCAACCCTACAGCAATAAGGGTGAGAATTACAATAGAGATGAAGAAAAAGATCATTGATAAGTATGAAAGTGGAGTGCATGTCTCCGAGCTGGCCAGGTTGTATAATAAACCCCAATCAACCATCGCTACTATTGGTGGTACAGCTGCTGCTGCTGCTGCTGCACTGTCAGCTGCTGCTGCTGCTGCTGCACTGTCAGCTGCTGCTGCTGCTGTAGCACCGTTGTTGGTGTGGCTTATTGAGAATACCAAGAAACAATTAACCCCAGAGGATTTGCCACCCAGGATAACCCAAAAAAGTCAGTGTCATCGAAGACTGTCTAACTTATTTCCATTGGGGTCCTTAATCTTGTCTCCCAGGATGCAACCCACACAAGTCGACTAACACCCAGGTGAACAGGGAAAAATGCCTGGAACTAGTGCTCATATTGGTGAATTTAAAGCCAGCAAAGGTTGGTTTGAGAGATTTAAGAATCGTAGTGGCATACACAGTGTGATAAGGCCTGTTCTGGAAGAAAATGCCAAACAGGACCTACAGTACTCAGGAGGAAAAGGCACTCCCAGGACACAGTGTCTCATCAGTCATTGCTGCATCTTCAATAAAGGTAAGTGTCATTTATTCTTCATTTAGTAGACTAGTACATGCACAATATATACTGTGCATGTACTACTCTACTATTGTGCATGTATCCTTCTCTTTGTGTGTGGGAAAATGTATATTTCATGTGGTAAAATTTTTTTTTTCATACTTTTGGGTGTCTTGCACGGATTAATTTGATTTCCATTATTTCTTATGGGGAAAATTCATTCACATAGCGATTATTTCGCATAACAATTACCCCTCTTGCACGGATTAAAATCGTTAACCGGGGGTCCACTGTATTAACCTAAAACAAAAACATTTAATGTGCTCAAGAGTGATTTATTATGCATCCAATACAGCTGATATCCAAAATAATGGCCGATAACCAGATAGAATTTTGGCCAAAAAAGCGGGGGAAAACTGAACTGGCCGATATTTGGAACGGCCAATAACCGAGGGTCCACTGTACAGTATGCTACTGTACAAACATTTCAAATTATATCAGAAATGTTATCTATAGTGCAAAGGTGACATTAAAACAATATCAAAAATGGTTGACACAAACCCACTACCATTATAGTATGCTCCTCACTTAGCAACAAATTCGTTTGCCAACGTGGTCTTAGGAACAGAACTCCATCGTTAAATGAGGAGAGGCTGTACTGGTATCTGAATTTTACCTTTTGGATGCCATAAAGTAGTAATATTTGTGGCTGTATTTGGATGTACATATCTGACTCCCATCCCTGCAGCCCTTTAAGGGAAGGGCGAGCCTTTTTCCAGTTTCAGGAAATTAAAATTGAAAAATTATGGAAAAAAAATTTTCTTACTGAAAAACAGTACAAAATTCTGGCAACATTTTGATGTAATCTGCTTGTTTCTATCGTATTTCTAAGTATGTTTTTCATTAAATGTATTTTTTTTGTTGCTGCTGTCAGCAAAAATACATGTTGGCAAATGATGTTTTTTTTTTCTCCAAAAATTACAAGTTTTATGATTGTTTCATTGTAAATTCTCTACATGGCATCTTCTGTGCTGGCTAGAGTGTGGAGCACGGTCAGTGTCTGCCTTAGTAGCTGTCAGGCTGTCAACACGTAAGGAGGGGTGCAACACGCTCAGATTTGGTGGGCGGTAACCATAGTTTCACATCAAACAAAATCAATAATAAATAAAAAATAAGTTATTGACACTGTAATCCATCTCCTTCGATAAATATTAATAGAATTGTCATGAATTTTGCAGATGTTATTGAGGAATGATGGTTCTACAAACAACCACAGTGGATTTGTGATACTGTTTACACCTTTGTTTTTAATTATTTTTTTGTACACAAAAAAACAATAAAAACAAAATTACTAACTTCAACATTTTTTTTTATGGAATCTACTGACATTATTGCTAAACTGCTCTGGGTCATTATTAAACGAGCCTTTATCTTTCATCTGATGACAACTAGAGCATTGTACATCTTCCTAATTTAGTAGAAACTGGAAAGCCCTAGGACCCATAAAACTGTGCAAAAATAATTTTTTTTCTATCTAACTTGAAGGCTAACAGTCAAAACAAACACACCCTATACGCTTTTTTAAAGCTGCTTAATCCACTGTCACAATCCCATTGAAATCTGATAAAAAAAAAAAGTTTGTGATTCTCCTCACCCCTCCTAATCCCCATCATTCTGTATTTTATCCAATATACTGCACTTAAATTGGCAATTCATTTATTTATACAACTAACCCTTTCTCTGGAAAGAGATCCACGAAGTTACCTGTATCCATACTCTGTATGCTATTGTGTACGGCTTCCTGTATCTGAAATACCATAAAAAGTCAATTAATATTTTATGCTTTGTTTAGCTTGTTGATAAAAGTTATTGTAGATATAATAGTTATGGTAGATTAATGAACAAAGTGATTTGAAGAGGACCTTGGACCCAGTAAAGTGCTAAATTAAAAGAACATATGTACTTTAAATCAAATGAAAATCAAATTATTTAAAATATGTACACGTGTGAGTGTTAGATAAGAGTGAATGGAGACGAATGGTTTTTGGGACCTGATGTGCTGTTGGAGTGTGAGCAAGGTAATATTTTGTGAAGGGACACAAGTCCTGGAGGTGTGAAGTACAATGCCTGCACTTTAAAGGAGGGGTTTGGGATAATGGCTGTTAGGAGTGACATCTAAAGTGTTGTATCTGAGTACCTCTGCGAAGACAGTGATTATGTGTGAATGATGGTGAAAGTGTTGAATGTTGGTGAAAGTGTTTCTTTCTTTTTTGGGTCACCCTGCCTCGGTGGGAAATGACTAACATGTTGAAAAAAATAAGAAATATAATGGATAAAATATAAATTACCTGAATTTTAAAGGCTGATTCCTGCATAGTATCTCTGACTAATCTGTGATTTATCAGGGCATGTTGTAATTCCTCAATCTCTCCCATCAGCTCATTCAGTTCACTTACTGAGATAGGACTTGAGTCATGATCACTTTGAGCAGAAAGTATTTCTTTATTAGCTGAAAAAAGATATGCTAATACAATACTGTATGAAGAATAAGGAATGACAATGTATACATCTACTGGAATTTAACTTGTAAATGCCAAAATTTGATCCCTGTCATCATCTACTGGAACTGTTTGCAAAAACACATTACAGCAACTGACAAAATGGCATAAGCAGAACATCAAGCATGGTAACTTAGCAACACTGCAGCCACAGAAGTCAGTGCAGAAAGAGGACATTTTTTACCAGTGGCGGCTTGTAGCTAAAATTAGTGGAGGTGCTGCTTCAGAAAATTTTTAGCCATTGTTTTAATATTGTGTAAAACGAAACAAGCATATATACTTCTTGTTGTTGCTTATTCCTGGCTGAGATATTTGAATATCAGGTGTTGAATGGCCTCTTTTCTTAATTGTATCTTTCTCATGGAGAGACAACTGTGAAAATTTAAAATGGTGAAATTCACTTACAGTCACAGAACTTATTTTTTGGGGACGCAAGGAGGTCATGATTAAATTATTTAAATTTTCTGTAAAATAAAAGAACAAAAAACTATGAATTAAATAAAACAGCTGGAAGCATGATAATCATCTAATTCTACACTTTATCACATTCAAGAATACGGTACAGTGATACCTCAAGTTTCGGCCACCTCCCAACTCGAACAATTATGTAAGTGAAGGAGGGGTGTTAATGTTGCAGTTTTATAACTGTAGTGTAAATTACCCATCTGGCAAGACAGTGATAGAGTGAATGATGATGAAAGTTTTTCTTTTTAGGGCCACCCTGCCTTGGTGGGAATCGGCCGATGTGTTAATAAAAAATAAATAAAATACACCTACCATCCGACTTACGACTGAGTTCGGTTCCGAGAAACCGGTCGTAAGTCGAAATGGTTGTAAGTCGAAATGGTCGTAAGTCGAATTTTACTACTGAATATCAACAAAACATTTTTGTAATGACTGTATTTTATTGTTTTATTTGGAATTTCATGTTTTACTTTACCTTTTATGCTGTTAGTACTGTATTTTATACTGTAAGGTTTAGGATAAACACTGTGTACAACACAAATAGTGTTTATTTCCCAGAAATCTGGCATAAAAAATACGGTTGCAAGTCGAGTGGTCGTAAGTTGAGCAGGTCGTAAGTCGGATGGTAGGTGAATTATTGTAAGTGCTTTTTTAAGTGTATTTTTGGGGGTCTGAAATGGACTAATCTAATTTACATTATTACTTATGGGAACAAATTTGTTCAGTGACGGGACTCAAACAGCCTTCTGGAACGAATTATGGCCGAAACTCAGGGTTCCACTGTACATGGTTTTTAAGCACAACACATGTCGCTGAGTCAAAAAGAAACACTATCTTACACTTGTACAACAGGGTAAGCACTGCGTCAGTGACAGTGCTCTCTCTACCTAGCGTGCAGTGTCTTATCTCGGACACGTGCGCATGCGCACAACAGCCAAACACTGCGTCGCTGGAACCGTGAAGCGCACAGTTCCATACAAGGATTTTTGTAATTTTTTCATGTACTAGGGGATGGCTACTGACATTAAGCTTAAGGTTAAGCTTAATAATGTACAAGTATAAAGAAAGAATTAAAGAAAAAAAACTCATTATATTGAATGTTATCTATAATATCAAGTGAAAATAGGGGATGCTGCAGTTTCGCAGTGCCTACACAAGCCGCCACTGTTTTTTTACAAAAGTACTTTACCAACTAATCAACAATTTCAAGAGGAAACTTTACATGATATTTTATGTCCTGGAACATTATACATCCATGACAGTGTAAATTTTACCCTTCAGTTTACTAACTGCAGAACTTCTGCAGGTGCTAGTGATATTATGAAGTATGGTTTATAATACAATAACACAATCTTGACTTTATAAGGTACTGTAATATGCGCCTTACAAGTTTCCACACAGTTTTTTCCCAATGCTATCATTCCACTTCTTGCTCATCTAAATTCACTATTTTTACACAAACAAAAAAAAAAAAACTCAGTGGGGTCATAACTTCTGTCCAGGACAAACTGAAATATCATTGTAAGTTTCCTCTCTTAAGTGCAGGTTATTTGTGAACCATTCCAGCCAGAATATTGTGGCTTATATATATTTTCTTCAATTTCAGTGGGTTAAATTTTGTTAAAGCTTAATTCCTGAGCATGTAATCTACATTCCTCCAAACTCATTCCTTGTTGAATATGCCAGCTACATTCACTTTAACACTGTACTGTACATAATTTTTATATTCCTTCTGGCAAATACAAAATGGGTAAACAGATACTGTATATAGATATTATTTATCATTACTGTATAAGCCCTATAATTCAAATGCATATAATAAATGTCATATTGCTTGAAACTGAAAACAAAGTACAGTGGACCCTTGACGAATGATGGCATCGACTAACAATAAAATCGGGTAACGATGCGTTTTTGAGTAAAAATATTGGCTTGACCAACAATGAAAAACTCAGGTAAGGACATTCATCCCGAACTCATCTCCTTCCGCCGTCCAGCCTGAGCGCCTCAGCTGCCCTGCCTTCAGCTTCTGTGCCACTACTTACAAGCCAGGGCAGACGGTTTTATGCATTGTGATATATTTTGTATTGTTCCATTATTTTAGTGCTTGTAACTGCTAAATAAGCCACTATGGGCACAAAGAAAGCTTCTAGTGCCAACCCTGTGGTAAAGGGTCAGAAATACTATCAAAATACTATTGTACCATGGTCAGCTGTTGCTGCACCACCGTCAGCTGCTGCTGTACCACCATCAGCTGCTGCTGTACCACGGTCAGCTGTTGCTGCGCCACCATCAGCTGCTGCTGTACCATGGTCAGCTGCTGCTGTTGCTGCACCACCATCAGCTGCTGTTGTACCACTGTCAGCTGCTGCTGTTGCTGCACCATCAGCTGCTGCTGTACCACCGTTAGCTGCTGCTGTACCAGTCAGCTGCTGCTGTACCACCATCAGCTACTGCTGTATCACGGTCAGCTGTTGCTGCACCACCATCAGCTGCTGCTGCACCACTGTCAGCTGTACTACTCAAAGATGTGGAGTGTTGTTGGTGTGGCTTAACGAGAAACAATTACTGAGAAACAATTAACCCCAGAGGGTTAGCCATCCAGAATAACCTAAGAAAGTCAGTGCGTCATCGAGGACTATCTAACTTATTTCCATTGGGGTCCTTAATCTTGTCCCCCAGGATGCGACCCACACCAGTCGACTAACACCCAAGTGAACAGGAAAAAAATGCCTGGAACTAGTGCTCATATTGGCGAATTTAAAGCTAGGAAAGGCTGGTTTGAGAGATTTAAGAATCATAGTGGCATATACAGTGTGGTAAAGCATGGCGAAGCTGAAAAATTCCAACCCTAACAAGCGTTCAATTGTGACGAAACAGGCCTGTTCTGGAAGAAAATGCCAAACAAGACCTACATTACTCAGGAGGAAAAGGCACTCCCAGGACACAAGCCTATGAAAGACAGGCTAACTCTCATGTTTTGTTGTAATGCTAGTGGGGATTGCAAAGTGAAGCCTTTACTCATGTATCACTCTGAAAATCCCAGAGTACAAGAAAAACAATTGTCTCATCACTCATCAATACACTTTAATAAAGGTAAGTGTCATTTTAGCATTTATTTATGTAGTTATTGTGCATGTCTCATTGTTTTCTTCATAGGGAAATGTATATTTCATGAAAAAAACATTATTTTTTTTTTAATACTTTTGGCTGTCTGGAACGGATTAATTGGATTTCCATTATTTCTTATGGGGAAAATTAATTCAGCTAACGATAAATTCGGCTAAGGACAAGCTCTCTGGAACGGATTAATATCATTGGTCGAGGGTCCACTATATAATCAATGAGAATTGTTTAAAAATTAATTCATGATGTTACATATTCAAATTTGCCGACACTAAATTACCAGAAACTGTACTCTGAAGTACTGTAAATGTATTGCATTTTTCATCTGAATAAAGTAAAATGCTCACCATATATCTCCGCACCATTAATTGTATCTTCTTGGATTTTTAGTTTATCAAAGCAGTCCAGCAATGGAGAAAGCTCCATTTTTTTCTTAGACATAACACGGTTCAATGCTTCCTTTAACTCCACTGGCAGTTCCATTTTATCATTCATAATTGTCTTCTAGCACTGTACACACTACTGTTCAACAAATATACTATAATATAAAAAGAAAAATCATTATTAGGCAGAGTATAATTCATCAAGAAGAATGAAAAAACATACTATAATTCTACTTCAATTCTTATTTAGAAATATACTGCACTTTTTACATACAGTATTACTATACAAGTGGAGTAGGTACTATCCTACAAAAGTATATAAATGCTGTATTCCCAACGGTTAGCCTAAAAGAAAGGGCACCCATTGGTGTTGGTTTATATTTAACAATACAAACCAACACCAAGAATCAGTACTAAATAAACAGCAAGAAAGCTCAAAAAAAATTGCTAAAGCATTTTCAGTGCAATATGTTACTGTTTATTCTACATCAATATCAATCCCCCTTTACCATATATGTATATAGTTGTGTAATACAGCATGCAAAATGAGTATCGGAAGTCCTTTATTCACCAGTCAGAAAAAATCAATATATACTGTACTCAAATAGGTCTCCTATTAAAAGACAGTATAATCTTTGCTTAATATTATAAAATAACAATATATTGGAGCTATAATTACTGAATCAAAATTACTAAGTCCAATAACTTGAACTTTTAAATTCTACAACAATTTCTATTATTAAATGAATAATTAATGAATTGACAGACTACAACTTCTCATTAATTAATGCAGGGATATCAGGTAGCAAGCAATAAATCCTGGAGATGGGTATTACAATGCCTGCACTCTGAAGGAGGGGTGTGAATGTTGCAATCAAGAGGGTCATTTGAATATTAACCCTTAACTAAACCAATTCCTGGATAGCTGCAACAGATCACATAGACAGATCACTATAAATAAATATCTCTCTGATATTTGATTACCTATTTTATAGCTACAGAAACAGAGCCATACTCATAATCTATCTGTGTTAGTTTGTTCGTATAATTTTCAACACCCATGTATCTACTAATGTACTGCTTACAGTGTTCTGAGAAATGTGAGGTAAGTTTGTATTTAAACCTCATATGTAATTTTGACACTTTGATATAGATTGTAAATAGTAAATTACATATACAGAATTTAACCTAGGATAACCCAACAGTCAATAAGACATGACTCAAGGAAGGAGAGGTTATCTTATATTCTTTGGATCAAAATATTTTCACAATCACTATGGCACTGCCCTTGAAGAACTTGTGTATTATAACAACCACTTTTCTAAGATACATATGCGCCAGTTAGGTCTTCTTATTGCCAAAAAGTTTCACCTGCATAATAAGCTATTTTTGTTGAATACATTAATGACTAAATATGGAGACAGAAGCAATTACCTGGAGAGAGTTCCGGGGGTCAACGCTCCCACGGCCTGGTCTGTGACCAGGCCTCCTGGCGGATCAGAGCCTGATCAACCAGGCTGTTACTGCTGGCTGCACGCAATCCAACGTACGAGCCACAGCCCGGCTGATAAGGTACCGACTTTAGGTGTTTGTCCAGTGCCTGCTTGAAGACAGTCAGGGGTCTATTGGTAATCCCCCTTATGTATGCTGGGAGGCAGTTGCACAGTCTCGGGCCCCTGACACTTATTGTATTGTCTCTTAACGTGCTAGTGACACCCCTTCTTTTCATTGGGGGGATGTTGCATCGTCTGCCAAGTCTTTTGCTTTCGTTGTGAGTGAAAGCATCAAGATAATATAACCAGTCCATCAACCCTGATGAAGTAGTTTTTGAGGTGGTCAGTTCCTCAGCTTAGAGAAGTGTTCAGTGCCTTTGTATTCAACTGAAGAAGTCTGCCGTGAAGTTGAAATGTTTAAAAAATATATACCTAACTGTAAACTCCCTTTTCTTATTTTTTTACAAAATATATAGCTACCCAAAGGGGTATGGCGATGACAGGACCCATTATGGGGGCTCCGTGGCCTGGATGGCAAAGCTCTCACTTCACACGCTGAGTGTCCGGGTCGATTCACGACAAGGGTTGAAACATTGGGCGTGTTTCCTAACACCTGTTGTCCTGTTCACCTACCAACGAGGTACCTGGGTGTTAGTCGACTGGTGTGGGTCGCATCCTAGGATAAGATTGAGGACCCAAATGGAAATAAGACAGACAGTCCTCGATGACGCATTGCTTTTTTATTTGGGTTATCCTGGGTAGCTAACCCTCCGGGGTTAAAATTCCGCACAAAACCTTATCTTAATAAGAGCCTGAGCTTTAAATACTATTATTAATGTATTATTATGGAAATAAGTCACTTTGCCTGACATTTTGGGGTTATCCTAGGTAATTTACACATGTTACTAGGTATGATAACTGTACTTGTATACCTGTATCTAAATAAACTTACAGACAATTTTTTGAATCTCAAATTCAGTGTTGATGGTTTATAGGGCTACAACAACCAGCGCCGTAACATGCCCTCTTTCCTGATATAGAGGGGGAAATATTCCACAGTCAGGCAGGGAACTGGGAAATAAGCAAGGTTTCCTCGGGAAATAGAAGAGGGAACAAGAATATTAACAGTTAGATCCGAGAGACATCAGGTAACTACTGTAGAGCCAGATCCTACACTACCTTAATCAGTAACTGGCTTTCCCACATGTTTGGATATCTATTCTCTGCAGAGTGGAAGACGGCATCCCGACTAATGTGCCCACCTGGACACTACCTCAGGATAGGTGTGGAAATTTGTCTGGACTACCTCCATGGGTTGTTGACACTGAGCTCTGAGTTTACCTGGAGAGAGTTCTGGGGGTCAACGCCCCTGTGAAAATTTGTGTGGACTGCCTCCAAGTGAGTCGCCTACCCTGGCAAACTCTGTTGACACCGAGCTCTGAGGTGGGTACCTCAGCCTCACAAGTGGCTTATAGGACAGATTTTCACAAATGATTGATGTTGCAAGAAACTCGCTTGCATGCAGGTATAAAGGACTAACTTACTTGGTGTTGCAGCATATATCCTGATCTTCAACCTCCCTAAGCTTAGCCCCTCTGGACTTTCCCTCAGAAACCACGTGCAACCGGGAGCCTTAATTCCTGCAATAGTTTAGTTTAATATGTTTATTATGCACCCCATACCCATCCTGTGGGCGGTAGTCAAAAGATTACAGAGGTACATAATTGGTCCAGGGACTGGACTCCAAAGTTTTGATAGCTGAGCAAGTTACAGAGGTAATGAACTCACAATTTACAAAGGTAATGAACTCACAATTTACAAAGGTAATGAACTCAAAATTTACAAAGGTAATGAACTCACAATTTACAAAGGTAATGAACTCACAATTTACAAAGGTAATGAACTCCAGGTAAGTCTGGTCACAATCATGACAAGTTACAAAGGTATTTACAGATTACAGAGGTACGTAATGGGTCCAGGGACTGGGCCCCCAAAGTTTTGATAGCTGAACTAGGTACAAAGGTAATGAGCTCACAAGTTACAAAGGTAATGAATTCTGTAGAATGGTTACTTACGTTTATACTTTGGCTACAATCATGAACAAATTATAGAGTAATGAGCAATTCACACTTCCACACCCGGTCACAACTGTAATGAGTTATTGGTGCAAATATTGATTGTTGAGTCACACACACCACACACACACACACACACACACACACACACACACACACACACACACACACACACACACACACACACACACACACACACACACACACACACACACACACACACACACTTTAGTTTAATATCTTTATGCACCCCATACCCATCCTGTGGGCGGTAGTCAAAAGATTACAAAGGTACATAATGGGTCCAGTGACTGGACCCCAAAGTTATGATAGCTGAACTAGTTACAAAGGTAATGAACTCCAGGTAGATCTGGTCACTAATCATGGCAAGTTACAGAGGTAATGAATCAGCTTCACTCCTATACATGGTTACAGTCATGAACAAATTACAAAGTAATGAACCACTGATACGTCCACACCTGGTCACAATTGTAATGAGTTATAAATACAAATATTAAGTGGATCATACACCCACACTAGCGCGCGCGCGCACATACACGAGGGCGCACGCACGGACATGTGCACTGCAATATTCAATCGTAATTAGTGTCCTGCCTGCACCTCAGAAATTCCTATATCCAAGAGGGTAGGTATCCCCTAGTATAACTATGCAGACACGGACACTAGCTTCCAGACTGCTCTGGGACACTGGTACTTACTGGGCATGCTCTGCCAGTTGCAACACAGGCCCACAGATCAACTCACTCACAATCTCCCTAGACACTGGCCAGAAATCTACGAGATAAAGATGGAGGTCTTGTCTTACTGTATGGGCCTGACAGAGGTCATCTACGGAACATCGAGGTGCCTCTACCAGATTTCCCCAGGTCTCAGATGTGAAGACACGTGGGGGGCGCCGTCTGCTGATCATGGCACGTCTTGTCCAGTTGGTGTCTGTCTTAAGAAGAACGAGCTGGTCTCTCTTCCAGATCCTCGTCTCTTCGTTCAAACTAGGGCTGCCAGTTCTCCCTAGCTAACTTATCCTAGTGTTTGCCTACATTATCGGCCTATTACTACCTATGTTAAGGTCTTAGGTCTACATTATTATTATCTACAGATGCCTTAGTAAACCTAATATTAATATACTAACAGTAAAACTACCTACTCCTTCTCTGAAGGGTAAATCTATAAATAAATATGTGCCTACCATCAATCGCCAACCCGGGGAGAGAAATGTGTTTATGTTCGGGGAGAACGCTTTTTGTTTGGGTGAGTTATAAGGGCCATCCAGCTCAGCCGTTCCATCATGGCCATGTCGGATCGGTCCTGTGGAACTTTAGGGACCAAATAAATTTCCACAGCCCCCGCGGCCCGGTCTGTGACCAGGCCTCCAGGTGGATCAGAGCCTGATCAACCAGGCTGTTGCTGCTGGCTGCACGCAATCCAACGTACGAGCCACAGCCCGGCTGGTCAGGTACTAACTTTAGGTGTTTGTCCAGTGCCTGCTTGAAAACTGCCAGGGGTCTATTGGTAATCCCCCTTATGTATGCTGGGAGGCAGTTGAACAGTCTCGGGCCCCTGACACTTATTGTATTGTCTCTTAACGTGCTAGTGACACCCCTGCTTTTCATTGTTTAGTTAGTTAGTTTAATATGTTTATTATGCACCCCATACCCATCCTGTGGGCGGTAGTCAAAAGATTACAGAGGTATATAATGGGTCCAGGGACTGGGCCTCAAAGTTTTGATGTCTGAGCAAGTTACAGAGGTAATGAATTCACAATTTACAAAGGTAATGAACTCCAGGTAGGTCTAGTCACAATCATGACAAGTTACAAAGGTATTAACAGATTATAGAGGTACAAAATGGATCCAGGGACTGGGCCCCAAAGTTTTGATGGCTGAACTAGGTACAAGGTAATGAACTCACAAGTTACAAAGGTAATGAATACTGTAAGAATGGTTACTTGCGTTTATACATGGCTACAATTATGAACAAATTTTAAGAGTAATGAGCAATTCACACTTCCACACCCGGTCACAACTGTTTACCTGGAGTTTACCTGGAGAGAGTTCCGGGGGTCAACGCCCCCGCGGCCCGGTCTGTGACCAGGCCTCCTGGTGGATCAGAGCCTGATCAACCAGGCTGTTGCTGCTGGCTGCACGCAAACCAACGTACGAGCAACAGCCCGGCTGATCAGGAACTGACTTTAGGTGCTTGTCCAGTGCCAGCTTGAAGACTGCCAGGGGTCTGTTGGTAATCCCCCTTATGTGTGCTGGGAGGCAGTTGAACAGTCTCGGGCCCCTGACACTTATTGTATAGTCTCTTAACGTAGCTGTGACACCCCTGCTTTTCATTGGGGGGATGGTGCATCGTCTGCCAAGTCTTTTGCTTTCGTAGTGAGTGATTTTCGTGTGCAAGTGAGTTATTGGTGCAAATATTGATTGTTGAGTCACACACACACACACACACACACACACCCACACACACACACACACACACCAACACACACTCCACACAACACACACCACACCACACACACCACACACACACACACTCATGTGGACTATGTGGTTTTAAGCTTCGAATACACAGTAGAGCTACAAGTGGAGGTAGAAGCAGGAAGGCCAGGACGAATGAAGCAAACTTACAAGGAAAGGGACTACTGGAATGAGGGACTACCTGAACGGGTTCAGTGGGACAGAGAATTGCAGGGAGACAGTTCATGAGATGGATGGAATATGTAGCACAAAATGCAAGGAGGCTGAGGAGAGGTTTGTACCAAGGGTAAACAGGATTAATGAAAACAAGCCAGGATGAGCCCATGGTTTACCCAAGTTGCAGGGAGGCAAAAAAATCCACGTGTGTAGGGAATGGAAGAAAAAGAATATAGAAGGCAAAGGACCCAGGAGAATAAGGAGAACTGTCGAGCCAGAAGAAACGAATTGCACCGATAAGAAGGGAGGCCCAAAGACTATAAGAAAATGGGACATAGCAGCGAAGCCAAATCTGACCGAAACTGTTTGCACAGCCACATCAGGAGGAAATTAACAGTCAAGGACCAGGTAATCAGGCTTAAGGAGAAGGAGGAGAGACAACAAGCAATGACCGGGAAGTAGATGAAGAACTCAAAAGAGATTCAAAGAAGTGTTCACAGAGGAGACAGAAAGGACTCCAGAAGGACGGAGAAGGTGGGGCACACCACCAGGCTGGACACAGTGCAACAACCGAGGAAGAAGTGAAGAGGCTTCTGAGTGAGCTAGATACCTCAAAGGCAATGGGGCCAGGATAAACATCTCCCATGGGTAATTGAGAGGGGTGCACGAGGCGCTATGTGTTTTTAACCCCCCTAACAACAATATTCATACATCTATCGAAACAGGGAGATTGCTGAGGCATGGAAGGACAGCATATGTAGTCCCAATCTTTAAAAAAGGAAACAGACATTAAAGCATTTTAAACTACAGACCAGTTGTCACTGCATGTATATAGTATGCAAAATCATGGAGAAGTTATCAGGAGTAGAGTGGTGGAACACCTAGATAGGAATGATCTCATAACAGCAGCCAACTTGGTCTTCGGGACGGGAAATCCTGAGTCACAAACCTACTGGGAGTTCTATGACATGTGACAGCAGTAAGCAAGAGAAGAGAGGGGGTGGGTGGATTGCATTTTCTTGGACTGCATGAAGGCGTTTGACAAGTTCCACCAAGAGATTGGTTGTCAAAACTGGAGGACCGCGCAGGCAGATAACAGGGAAGGCATACAATGAATCGGAATACTTGTCAGGAAGACAGCAGCGAGTCATGTTCGTGGCGAGGGTGTCAGAGGGGGACTGGACAGCGGGTTCCGCAGGGGGCAGTCCTAGGACCTGTGCTGTTTCTGGTATTTGTGAACGACAGACGGAAGGAATAGACTCTGAGGAGTCCTGTTTGCAGATGACGTGAAGTGATGTGA